GGCGGCAACGGCACGACGGACGGCAATGGCACGACGGGTGGCAATGGCACAGGTATATTTGACCCAGTGCAGGGTTGAGTGAGACGTGTGATCAAGGCGCATGGTGCCTGTGTGTAGCCTGTAGAGAGGGCATAATCTAGGTGAAGGGATAACGAGGCAGGCGTTGGTAGTGAAATCCCCGCTTGATGCCTGCCTGTTGACCTCCAGCCTTCATGTGCCACCCCCCACAACAGCAGCTTGCAATCTGACGTGTCTCAATGGAGGCCTCTGCGTGGGGAATACATGCGACTGCGCTGGCACTGGTTTTACTGGTGCAACGTGCAACACGATTCCAGGTAGATTTTCCTCTTCAACCTCTGCGGATTAGCAAGTTGCTTGTGGTTTTGTGCGTCAAGCCAGCAGCAGCTCTTGATGACTCAGGCATGCCAGCACTTGGTTTGACACCTTGTGCGCATGCAGCTTGCTAATACAGCTCATGCCTGCACGTCCCTGGCTTGCAAAAAGACATAAACTTGGGCAAGTGCTTTTGGCACCATCAGGCTGCAAACCTGCGCTGCATGGTTGTGACAGTCGCTGCACCGCTGTCTTCAATATCGCGTTTGCCTCACACTCTCCAATCAACGCAACTGTCCGTGCGTCCCTGCCCCGTCCCTGCCTGCTTGCTCTGTGCCTTCACAGTGTGCAACCAAACATGTCAAAACGGAGGCCGCTGCGTGGCCCCAAACACGTGTGATTGCTCCGGCACTGGATTCACCGGCCCAACGTGCACTACGCCTGCTGGTGGGCACTGCCTTGCTAGCCGTACAGATCAGCAGCTGGGCCAGGCTGCCTGACAGCGTGTGCCCCTCGTAGTTGGTAGCGTTGCTGCAGCGTACAATCCCATCCACTGCCTCCTGACATGATGCACGGCGCGCAGTCTGCAGCCCGGGACTGTGCAAGAACTTGGGCGTGTGCGTCGGAAACAACACGTGCAACTGCGATGGCACTGGCTTCACTGGGCCGACTTGCGAGGGCCCCATACCAGGCGAGTGTGCAGGGGTGTTTTAGGGGAAGTGCAGAATTTGCTGACAACTTAGACTGAATGATTGGAGTGGGTGGGCAGCAGGTGGGACATATATAGTTGCTGTTGTGTAGTCTCTTGCAGGCTCTGATGCGATGTCATGAAGCAAGTTTCTTTCAAGACAGTTGTGATTTGACAACCCTCTCCTGGCGACCTGTCTCTCGCTGTACGCAGTCTGCAATGTAACATGCCAGAATGGTGGTATCTGCGTCAACACCAACAAGTGCAGCTGCCCCACCGGCTTCACTGGCCCGACTTGCAACCAGACGATTAATGGTGGGCGCCGCAGTCAGCTTTGAGCTTCTGAGGTCATGTGGTGTCTTAGGCCCTGACCGCCGTATTGTGTCCACACAAGTGTTGGTTGGGTGCATGAGGTGGTGTTGCAGGCTATGATCCACCAACTGCCACACACGCAACCAACAGAACAAATGGCTGTGCTCTCTGCTGCAACACCCCCCATTTTGCAGCCACTGTGTCAAGCGGCGTGGACGGGTTCTACATCTGCCCGCGCAACGGCGTCTGCAGGGTAGCCGCACCGGGCCTCCTGAGCCTCTTTATTAACCCCAACAAGCTGCCCCTGTTCCTGGTGGCTGCTGGCAGGACCAGCCCGGCTATCGGCGTGCTAGACGTTAAGTCTGATGGCTCGCTCACCTACATCCCGCCCATGTGAGAGGGAACATCCTTGCGCTCACAGGCTGATGTGCTGCAATCTGCGCGCACGCACAGGCGCAGCAACGGCAAATCAAGGAGTGCCAGGGGCCCGGCTTGTGGCCTGCGTGCCTCGCGTGCATCTGTGGTGGTGTCTGCCAGCCTCTGATAACTCTGGCCCTCAGAGGTGTTCGAACCCATTGCAACTCCTCCTTTCAATCGCCTCTCCTCCTGTGCTACCTTTAATCGCCTTGAAACACCTGCCCACCTGGCCCTTACTCCTGTCGCAGCTCATTTGCTGGCAATGTCTCCTTCCCAGTGACCATCACCGATCTGGCATCTCTCAGGACTCTCAATGTGGTGCTGTCCATCACTGGCCCTGCACCCCCCGTCCCCACGGCTGTGGACGACGTTTTCACGTGCCCCCTGGGCACCGACTGTGTGATCCCAGCCCCTGGAGTGCTGGCAAATGATGTGAGCACCAGCGCAGGCGCAAAGCTCGTTGTCACCAGCAACACCGGAAACGTCACTGTGGCGCCCGACGGCCAGGTCACCCTAAAGTTTGTCCCGTGAGTATACCTGGGATCTGGGGCAGCTGCGGCCCGAGCTGGAGCTGGAGGTTTGTGTGTGCTGGCTGGTCGAGCAGTGTGTCCAGCAAGGAAGCTTCATCTCACAATTTGCGCCCTCTCTGCTTCTGGCATCAGCATGCTTCGACTGCTCAGCCAGCCAGGAGGCCTGAGTGCAGTACACAGTCCTTTGATCTGACCTCACTTCGATTGCCACCTCCGCCCCCTTGCCAACACCCAGGGGCTTCTCTGGCAACTCAACCTTCACCTACACCATCAGCGACGGCGTCTCGTTGTTCACCGCCACAGCCACGGGCACCCTCATCGTCCCCGGAATCCAGCCTGCGGGCGCAGGTGTCAGCCAGGTTTTCAACACCTTCCTGCTGCTCACCCCCGCCGACGGCAGCGGTGCCAATGGCGTGTGCCCCGACCCTGCACCTGGGCTGTCGGAGATTTCAAACGCTGCGGTGGCCAGGCTGAGCACTGTGCAGAACATCAGCAGCGTCCAGACATCTTTTGTGAAGTGCGACTTGGTGGTGAGCACGCCCAAAGGACTGTGGCCTGACTGAAAACGTTGCATACAAGGGGCACTGGGGCGATCCGTGCCTACTCTTCTGTGCTTTGGGGGGGCTCCTACGGCATTGGGGCGCAGCAGGGTGATGGATTTGGACCGCATGGGCACATGGAGTGCGCAAGCAGCACGTGCTGCTTTTGGAGGCCTTGTGTGGTTGTGTGTGTCCTTGGCTTTCAAGGACTGTGCTGGTTGAAGGCGAGACCCTGAAGCAAGAACTGCATGATGCTGCACGGAGTAGCATGCGTAGCCCATTCAAGCAAAGGCTTTGAATAGCAATTGTACACCCTCAGCTCAACCGCCAACCTCATTCCTCCCATGTTCTTGACACCTGCAGGATAGCGGCAAGATCCTGGTCACCATGTCCACCACCGTCGGCGCCGCCACCACCGGGCCCATCGCCACCCTGCTCGCAGGCGTGAACTCACCCGCCTCCGTTGGCGCCGCGCAGCCCCTCGCCAACATCTGCGCCTCGACGCTCTTTGCATCACTGTGCAACGGCACTGTGTTCAGCAGGCTGCGTGTGGTGGATGGCTGCGCAACAGTCAACAGCCAATGCCTCCCCGAGACACTGCGCACCAAGCGCTGCATCGTCAGCGGCCAGACAGTCGGTGGCTACACCTTCGTGCGCTCAAGTACGAGCAGGGTCACACCCTTCTTCGACGCCAACACTGCGGACACCTCGTCGGAGGCTGCCCAGGGTCGCCGCCTGCTGCAGAGGGTCCGCCAGGCCACTTTTCAGTCGTGCTGCGTGAGCCCGAAGCAGAGGGAGCCCGCGACTGGCACTGCGTCCACCTGCAGGAGGATCAATGTCGGCAAGAAGTTCACCAGCCTCGGCCGCTTCAAGCCCACGACGTGCAGATGTGCCAATGTCCGCGAGTTCGTCCAGTCCGAGATGTGCGTGGCGCACGCACGTAGCCGCCCGTCCCGCCCTTGCCCAGCTGTTGGATGGGTTTGGGTTTTGATACGGGCCTACTCTAGCACGGGTGTCCAGCAGTAATGATCACGCCCTTGCAGGAACGAACAGCCCCGGGTAAGGGGGCGGCAGACAGGCGCATGATGGCTGCCGATCGCTATGCTCTGGCCTCTTTGCCTGACCTTCCCTCCCCATGCACCCTTCCTCTGGCCGACTCTGCAGGTCAACAAAGCTGCCCAAGGTTGCCGTAAACCACATCGCGGCCAACTACCCCGTCAGCATTGGTTTTGTCAGCAACGTGTGCTTGCCCAAGCCAACCAAGAGCAACCCCCTGAGGTGCACCAACAAATTCCAGACTGTGGGCGCCGCCACCGTCAGCTGCAGCAACGGCACCCTGAACCTGGCCTACGAGTCGGCCCCCCGTTATGTCATTGGCCGTGGTCAGAATATTGTCGTCACGTGCACCAACAGCAGGTTAGTGGGGTGATGGTTTTGGACACAATGCTGGCTTGAGGCCGGCTTGGCGGACTTTGCCCCTCGCTCCCTCTTGACACAGACACAGTAAGGCACACAATTTGCCCTGTCATCAACCTGTCATCAACCTGTATACAGTCAATCCAAAAAAAAGCTAGGTTGCTGCTCTAACCCGCGTACTGTGTCTCTGTTACCTCCCCCAGGTTCTCCCAGCTTTCCTCGTGCAACAGTGTCAATGCAGCTGGCACGGTTGTCAGTCCCTTGGTCACTGGCAACTTTCAGGTCACCAACCCAGACTTTGACTCCGGCTGCGTGTGCAAGTCGACTGGCCGCAAGCCGGTGTTCCTGCTGAGCGCTGTTGATGTCATCGCCGGCCAGCAGTGCATCCCGTGATTGCCAGTGACAGTTTGCCAGCGATTATGTGCTGGCAATCGACTTGCAACCAGAAGTGGACTGGGCGGAGGCCGCTTGTCCACGGGACGCATGGGCATGCAGTCCCGGCGGTGGTGTCCCCCAGCCTGGGTTCGGCACAGCCAATCGTACGGTGCCGGGCTCGGCACAGTCAAACGTACTGTGCCGGGTTCAGCACAATCAGCAGACTGCGCTGCGGAACTCTGTGAACCAACCTGCTGAGCACGCGCAGTGTACCTGGTGCTGTTGCGCGCTTGCAGCACAGTGGGTCTGCGAAGCCAGGCAAGACTTGGCAGCCTATCAAGCTCAATTGGCTGGTTCACTAGTGTGCGGCGCCTTCGGCTGGCTGGAAGCTGGGGCAGTGCTGTTGGCTCCTTCACGAGGGGTGAAAGGCAGACAAGTATTCGTTGTTGTTTTGGTGCCTTTGCGCCCGGTTTCTGCAGACTCAATGCCGCAATTCCTAGTCTTTTTGGACTCATGTGGTGCCACCTGTGCGAGCTCGCAGCACACGCCGGCCCCGATTTGTGCAGCAACCTGAACAGATTGTGACTCACTGGCAGTCACATGAGGAACGCTTTGCGGCCAGTCTGTCCAAGGCACTGCCGCGGTGTTCCACAGCGCACGCGAATTGTTTGTCCCACTGGTGCTCAGAGGCCAATGAGCTGTGCTGATCGGCTGCTGCGGCTGGCACAGCCTTCACAAGGCCACTTACTGGCTCGCGCAGTGGTTCTTCCTGTGGACGATGTGCTTGAAGGGTGTAGGCACGTGGCTTTGTGCGCGCGTCTGGAATGATTCCACCCTGTTGGTGCGCCCACTTTCACGCGCACACACATGCACACACACAAACATTTTTTCTCACACACACAGCCGAGGTGCCCTGGGCTGCTGGCGCGTCGGCAGACTGTCTATCTGAAGGTAGTGCAGCACTTGCCTTTGTCATCATTGTGCATGCTTGATGGTCCCAACTCCTGTTGCTGCCAAACGGCGGCAGCAGACTGGAACCTGAGCAGCAAACTTCACCTGCTGGGTCTCTTCAATAATGCCTGTGCATTCACCAGTGGTGGTCAACTCGCGAGCACAGCCATCACTTTGGCTGCAGCAACCGCAGTTGCAACAATGGGCTGGCACCCCACACGCACACTTTGCCATGTGTGTCCTTATCTCTTTTCAACGAATTCTTCAGGTGGCATACTGCTCGGGCAGGCAATTAAACCCTCACAGCCTTAGCGGGCGCCTGACGCCGATGAGTAACACAAACTCCAACAATGGTATAAATGTGTATGTGAGTGTATGCGCGCGTGTGCGCATGCGTGTGTGTGCATGTGACCATTGCATGCATCGGTAGAAAAATTGGATTGAAGTATTTCATGAAAAGGTCGGAACTAACAAAAACATCGCTGCCTATGGATGTTCTTGGGTTGTGAAGTAAGCCATTTGGCTTGTGGTGTCTTTTTGGGTCGTCCCGAGGAGGAATGTACACGCACCGCACGAATCATGACTGCTCTACCCTGGACCTGCACTGGGTCAGTGCACAATGGATACCGAAGGATTGAGCCTGGTGTGCTGCGCCTGCATGAATAATCGCAAAAGAGTGCAGGACATTTTTCCCACTCAGGCTACACAAGTGTGCTTGGAAGTGCGATCTACACGGCGAGCGCCTGTATTGACGGGGGCGTTTGCGCGGTGCGCCTGCGTCCAGTGGGTCAACCACAGGGCGGAGGCATGGTGTTAGCGGCGCACCAGGCCAGGGTCCTGAGGTGAAGGTGGGACGATGGCGTATGTGCACCACCTCTGCTTGGGTGTGAAGCCAACAGTGTTTATACAACATCGCAGCGCATCTCTGAGTACAGTATCGTTTAGCCACTTGAACGTTTCGTCGGACACAGCCGACTGTACTGTATATCATAACGATTTGATACAGTTCAAGCGGAGACCGGCTGCACACGATCTGATGATCCGCCGGCCGCGCCTCACTCATGTAGATGTAGACAAACAAATCATATGATAGGTGTAAGCGGCTCAGTGACGGGATGCTGCCGTCCCTGGATGAGCGACACACTGCTGCCAACGTAGCCGCTGCTCAGCTGCAGCAGAGCGCCAGCAAAGCAACCTGGCAGCAGTCCGCTCCAGTATCTGCTCGCAGCCGCCTGCTGAACATGTGTCCACAACCTCCAAACCAGCAGCGCAGCGGCCGCGGCACTCGCTGCATGCCAGCAGCGGCGGGAACAAGGCATGGGGGCAGCTGTGCAGTTTGCGCCAGGGGGCGAAGTACCACATGATAAGCTTTTGCTCCGAGGCTCGTGCATCCACAATCGAGGCAGGGCTGCCAGCACACACCGCTGCGGTTGAGGAGGGGGTTGCATCTGGGGTGGCAGGAGGTACGCACCTGTGCGCCTTGAGTCCCCTACCTGCTGCCAAGCTCTCTGTGTATGCCTTGCCTTGCGCTCATCCCAACCGCCGGCGATGTGAACGGCTGACATACAGGGATGTGCTGATTTATCATGATGACGCGCTACAGATTACTTCTTTGAGCTGGCTGAATTGAATCTGACTACTGGACGGCTTGCTGCCCGTGTTTGGTGTTGTTATGGCGTTCGACACCCCCACCTGCCAGCTCATATTTGCAGGGCTGATGCGCCTCTGTGCCGGCAGCTGGAGGTGTTTGGCCGCTGCCCTCTTATATTGATGGCGCATTGGCAGTGGATAACGAGGAAAGCCAGACCAGGTGGCCGTCGGGAGGACGAGGCGGGGGCTGGCCGCACGCAGAGGACCTCACATATTCTGACGCAGATTTTCAGGTTGGTGGTTGGGTGGGTGAGTGAGGGCATAGCCCAGCTGTGTAGTGAATGTGTTTCTGCTTCAAGTTTGCTTTCGAACGCGTTGTGGAGGGAATGAGCAAGGATGAGGGGACGGAGCGACAGCCATTGCGTTGTTGAGGTCAGGGCGAGCATCCAGGCACCAGGCGCTGTTTGGTGAGGGGCGGCCTCACTGTGTCTCGCGCTTGCAGGAATTTATCCTTGGGACTGCTTGGACCCAAGCCGCTGGCGGGGCCGGAGAGAGAGAGAGGCGGCTACAGCCGTGTGGCTGACCGCATGCAGTATGCGGGGTCCTAGATGAATTCATTTGTGCCATCCACAGGGCGCTGCAGCGGTAGCAGTTTCGGGAGCACGTCGGCGCTGGACTGCGCTGCAGACCGCGGGTGCTCCTTCCCGTCCATCCTTCAACTTTTTGGTTATTCGCCAACCCCATCCGCTTTTGTTATCCAGAGCTAACCCCATGCGCTCGCAAGTGGTCCCAAATGATCACCCCTGCCCCCAGGACCCCACCCCTACCAGTAACCCAGTTGCAGTAGACATGCTGCTGAGGAGCAGAGCGCAGTTGACGCCTCCACTCTGCCGGAATCGTTTTTAATTAAGGTGGGCAAGGCATATCAATCCTGGCGTTATGCAGCTCAATTGTGGGGTAGGTAGCGGGGTGGCTGGGTGGGTAGTGGGCTGCTGGCCACCTGACAAGGCAGCAGGTTGTGGGCACGAACATGATGGGGTGCCTTGCGATCATCACCGCCTGCTGTGGCCCAATAAGCTGGAAAACCCCGGCTGCACCACCTGTTCCAGTAGGCCGACATGCTCGGCCATGCAGCAGCCCGCCTCAACAAACACTGCATGAGCGACACTACCCAACTCCCCCCCATTCTTCCCCTGGCCCCCTTCTGTTTGTTTCAGCCCGTACCCTCTCGGCTCACCCTGCCCTGATCTTGTGCCAGCCCCTTCACACATCCTCCATATCAAACCAAGGGCAGCCCAAAGCTCGAGGTGGTGCGCACCCATCAGGGCTGCCTAGCGGCCCTCATTGTGGCCGACAGCGTGTGGCGGCTGGCCAGCAGCAAGGGATGCTGTGTGGAGTGTGCTCATGAATGTCCTGATTCCACAGCACAAGCCAAACAAAGTGACCCAAGAAAAAGCTGCCGTCTAGCATACAAGCTGCATTCTTCACTGTTGTTCAACAAACATCATGGTTGCATATGGCAATAACGGTAGCGAGGTGGCAATTGCACAAGCAAATTGATGTGGGTCAACACTGGCGGCTTACCACTAAATTCTGGCACCCCTTAAGTTCGTCCATCAAATTGTGAACACACTGCATGGTCTGCAAGTCCACGCATTGGCCAGACATGCAAGGGCACTGGACGCATTTTGTTTGCACCCGCTGGCCAGCAGCCAAGGGCGCTGCTGCAAGAGCAGCACCTAGCAGGTAGCTGGTGTGCCAGCTACAAGCTGCTAGCCGCATTCGGCACTTCAATGATGGCAGCAGATACTGCCATTTTACTTCCTGTCCTTGGAACACATGTGCTGTGTCACTTGCACAACTTTGTAATTATCCCCCCTTTCGCTGACGAAACGCATCATGCGGAGTGCTGCGCTGGTGTGCAGGCCAGAACGGCGTGTGGGCCGGGAGATCCAGTAAGCTGCCACTCACATACCATTTGCTGGCGTTGTTTGGCAGTGCGCCAGGTTTGCCTCACCAGTCGTCACAAGGGTTTGGGCCAAAGTTTCCTACTGCAACAAGGAACCCTCAACGTGCATTTTCCTCCTCTCTGCTGCTGCTGTACAATCAAATGCCTCATGGCTGGTCAGCAGCAGCAGAGGCCTCCCATCGTCAGTGCGCGTGCAGCTGATGGCATCACAGATCTTCCGGGCCAGCCTTCCTGGAGGCCCGCCTGACGGCGCAATCCTCCTACACAGTGTATTGCCTCACCCAAAACACACTGCAGCAGCTGCTCTTGCCTGATGACATCAGCAAGGCCAGGATGGATTTATTGCAACTCATGCGCCTGATGCCGCGTTGAACAGCAGCTGGTGGGCTTGCCAGCTGTTGGGGGTCATCACTCCTAGGCCCTATCCACCATGCAGTCATGTGGACTGTGCCACCGCAGTCACAAGCCAAGGTGGTGCGGCCTGGATTGGTGCTAATTGAAGACAAAGTGCGTCTAGAATTATAGCGTCGCCTCCCACCCTCCCTCCCTCGCGCCGACCACCTCCGACGTCAGCCACGCGTAGGCCGGTCCCCTGCCGCTGGAGATTCAGGCAAACAATTCCCGCTGGCTTTCTCAGTGTGCGAACCCCGCAAATTACTATCGCTTTGAGTGATGTACCACGGAAGCTTTTGGATCCGCGCCAAGCTTTCTCCGTTGAACTCATTATCACGAACCCAGTGCCCCTCGGTGACTTACTAGCGAACGGCATCTTGCCTAGGTGGGTTGAACTGACATTCCGAATGAATGTCTCGCGCACGCGGCCCCTGCACCCCAGTGATGTCGTGGTCGGTGTCAGCTTGTGCTTGTGTGCGGGGTTACTAACAGCGTGCTTGTGCACACCCCTTGCCACCCAGCAGCAGTGCGGCACATCTGTTTCTGGGCTGGAGGTAACAAAGCCTGGTAGGTCAGCAGGGTGGTGATGGGCCTCAACGTCAGGACAGATGCTTGCCCTGCAGCAACTCCTCACCACACCGGTTGGCTTGCCTCGCGCCGCCGCCCCTCTCTCTGAAATCCTCTTCCGTCATCCCTTCCCCTTCTTACCACCAAACTCGCCTCCACAGGTTGGCAGCCGCACATCCTCCACAACCGTCATCATGGCGCGTCCTCGCCTGCCAGCAGGCGTTGCCGCCCTGGCGGCGCTCCTGGTGCTCCTGCTCAGTGCACCGGCAGCTACTGGTGCTGCTGAGCGTTCGTCGAACGACGCCGCCGGCCGCGAGCTTCTGCAGCTCCTTGGCGGACTCACTGGAACACTTAGTGGCACTGTAGGGGCAGTCACAGGCGGCGTCGGCGGCATTGTCGACACAGTGTTGGGCGGCACCACCACAAATGCGACCACTACTCTCCTCAACAATGTCACCAACACGGTCGGCGGCGTTGTTGGGAGCCTCACCGGCACCAACAACACGCTAGCGCCTGTCACCAACTTGACCACCGCTGTGGGCGGCGTGGTCGATGGTTTGCTTGGCACCGTGGGGGACATCATTGGCGGTACTGGCCTCACAAACCTGACCAGCGGCCTTGTCAACACTGTCAACAGCACGGTGGGCGGCCTCACCAATGGCACCCTCAGCAACCCCACGGGCGTTGTTGGTGGCTTGGTCAACACCATCAACAGCACAGTAGGCGGCTTGGTCAACACCGTCAACAGCACAGTAGGCGGCTTGGTCAACACCCTCAACAGCACAGTAGGCGGCTTGGTCAACACCGTCAACAGCACAGTGAG